ATTGCTGGGTCAAATGGTATCTCTATTTGCAACTTTTTGAGAAAGCGCCACACTGCCTTCCACAGGGGTTGCACCATTTTACACTCCCACCAACATTGAATAAGGGTTCCAGTTTCTCCACAACCTCGCCAGCATCTGTTGCTTGCTGTTCTATTAAATTTTGCTATTCTGACTGGGATGAGATGATACTGCATAGTTGTTTTTATTTTAATAACTTTAAAAAAATTTTAAAAAGTTACAGTTATGAAAACAAATATGCTGCCATGTTTATTTTGTTTTTTCTTGTTCTCAAGTTTAGGGTGACTAAGAGATCTTCTGTATATACAAATTTTTTTAAATTAATTTTAATGGAAAGTTTACAGAGATTTAGGGTTTCCAGTCATTCATTGTTGCACTTTTCTCCCTGCCTGCCCCTTCCCCCCAATTCACTCTTGTCCTTGAAAAGAAAAAGAAAAACTCTTTCATTATTATGCAATCCTTCCCCCCCAAGTTCACTCCACTATGCAGCTTTCACTCTGGACTTCTGTAATGACAAGAATACCCATTCATATATCTCTTTTTAAACAGTTCTCTCCCTCATCTGTTTCAATATACATCATTCCTCCCCTCCTTTTCTGTCTTCCCTCAGCCCTGACGTCAGTCTCGTTTTACATCACATTCTTTAGTCTAAATTAATCTTCCTTCTTTTTTCTTTTATCTCTTATGTAGTGGCTTTGCTGTCTCCCACAAATCTTGAAGTTCATATCCTACAATATCCTGCAACAGTCACTGATTATCAGGGCTGATATGTCACATATCAGACTCACTTTCAAGTCTCTTGTTCTTGGACAGCGTAAACCCCAGGAATTGGCCATAGCCTAGCCCTTGGTTTCCCTGCTTTCTGGGGAGGGGGCTACTTCCTGCTATAAACCTCTTCTTGGTCTTTCTAGATCTGTTATCACATTGAGGCAAGCATTCCACATTTCTTTCTAGATTCCCTTGAGAGACTCACCTGCCAGTCCTCGTCTTTGAAAGTGCTGTGTAGTCAATAAAACACAAGGAGGGAGGGAGGAAGTTCTGGTGGCCTAGTGGTGAGAAGCTGCACTGCAATCCAAAAGGTAACCAACTAGTAAAATCCACCAGATTCTCCACTGGAGGAGGAGGGGCAATCTCCTCATGTGGCAGTCAGATCCAGTTTGATGGCACACAACAAGAAAAAATAAAACAGCACAAGGAGGGATCTGTGGTATCTTCTGCTTCGCTGAAGACCATCTGATGTCAGCAATGCCGTCTCATGTTTCACCACTGCTTCACGGTTTCACCAGGAAGCTCTGGTGGCCTAGTAGTAAGTAGGTGTGCTTCTAATGAAAAGGCACGTGGTTCATATCCACCAGCTGCTCCTCAGGAGAAATGACCAATCTCCTCCTGTGACATGAAAACCCACTGGAGGCTCAGTTATGAGTTGGCTCCACCTTGATGGTACATAACAACAAGAGCAGGAGGCTGTCTTCCAAATGTCTTGACATTTCAGGCAAGTGTTTGCTGTAACACTTCAGGTGGTATTCTGGAAATTCCTGAAGCCTTTTTTTCCACTGTCAGGGCAGCCTTGGTTTCTTCCTTCAGCACTTGTTCATGTGCTACTTCCTGAAATGAAGTCAAGGTTTGAACTGTTTGTCCTCCACCTAATACTTGTATAAGATGATATAGTGTGGAATCATCTCCTATGGTCCGATAAACTGAACAGTTGTAGGAGGGTTAAAAGGGGAATCCAACACCCCCTAATCCCTTCGCAGTCTTAATCTGATGTGAGGGTGGTTGTTCTTTGGTGCTATCAGGTTGAGTACAACTCACAGCAAGCCTATGAACAACAGATTTGAACACTGTTCTATCCCGTGTCATTCTCACAATCTTTGACACACTCAAGCTCACTGCCACAGTCACTGTTGTCAACCCATCTGGTTGAAGGTCTTCCTCTTTTATGCCAACCCTCCACCTTCCCAAGCATGGTGTCCTCCTCCGAGGAATAACCTCTCCTGCCTGAAGTATGCGAGATGAAGCTTACTCATCTTTACCTCCAAGGAGCACTCTAGCTGCACTTTCTCCAAGGTATATTCGCTCTTTTGGCCGTCCATGGGATCCTCAGCTCTCTTCTCCAACCGCACAATTCAAAAGCATCAGTTCTTCTGTCGTCCTTATTCACTGTCTAGCTCTCAGATACAGAGCAAGTGACTGAAAAGACCACGGCACAGTCCTCAAACTGATACCCCTGGCTCTGTTTCCACAGCAGCCTCTTGGTCTAGGTTTCCCCTGACCATAATCAAGTGTTCTGGGATTCCCATTCTTCTCAATGTCAGCCATAATTTGTTATGATCCACACAGTCAAATGCCTTTTCATAGTCAATAAAGCACAAATAGACATTTTTCTGCTATTCTCTGCTTGCAGCCAGGTTCCATCCGATATCAGCCATGATATGCCTGGTGCCACAGCCTCTTCCAAATCCAGCTTGAACGCCTGGAAGTTCTCTATTTACTGTTCTAGCTGGAAGTGGCTTTTAACAGTTCTTCTTTGAATAAAAAGGGAGAGAATAGAGCCACCGTGGGGATCTTCAGTACCAGATGGAAATAATTGCCAGGAGTGAAAAGTGAAGGAGTTAACTCATGTGTACTTGTCAGAGCTATTTTGCTGTTTTGTATTTGCTATTATGGTGAAGTGGGTCTACTGTTCCAAATGGGTTCGCTAGGCCGTCACCTTAACTTTCACCACACAGGTTGGTGGGAACATGCAAATAGGAT